AAGTCGATTTAAACAAAGAATTCTCCAAATTCCTGTCTACTTCTGATGAGTCAAATGATACTTTAAACATGCTGTTATGGTAGTGCAGCACTTAAAAAGCATATTTGTTTAAGCTTTATTTCAAATATAACTGTGATTATTGTAAATTTCCTGCCTCCCTGCCTTCTGTCCCTTTGCTCCAAATAAAAACAACATCTCTGTTCTTTATTCACCACAATTATATATTTTCTAAAAATATGCATAAGCTTATTAAATCCAAATTTTTAAAAATAAAAGGAATTTCAAGTTGCTTTCTGAAAGAAACACATGTTTCTGAACTTCAACTTGAGAGGTAATAATCAACCTTGCTCATTCTATCATAGTAAATACAGCAAAATATGTAAACATTAGAAAGAAAAGACATATCAACAAGGACACTTATTTTACAAAATAAGGAAGCTCAAAAAGCATGCAAGTTAAGGACATGGTTAATCATTAATGATGGAAATTTTTAATTAATGACATCAGAAATACATTACCCAATGTTAAGTGAAATGATAACTCATTTTGAAACAAATCTGGGTAATAATTTTCAAAGTAAATTGTTTATATGCTTTGATTCAACTATACTATTTTTCAAAAACGTGCAGTGTGTATAAAGATGTTCACCATTGTTTGTGATGAATAGCAGGAGCTGGAAATAGCCTTAATGTGCATTGGGATGTGACTGGTTAGATAAAGCACACAAATCATGGTACCTGTGTGCAATGTGCTATTTAGAGAAACAGGATATATTGGCACGTGCTAATTAGAGGGCATATGCCATGTTTATCATAGGTACCAGGAAATCTTTTCATTTTTAATTGATTTTAATTTTATAGATATTTTTTGAAGGGAAGCACATGAAACTATATCTGCTCTTATCTCTGATATGTAGGAATGGGAGTTGGATGGAAAAAAACATTTCCACTTTTCAATTTATTGGTTTAGCTACTATTGTATATTTTCACAGTGAACGTTTATTTGCATTATCAAAAAAAAAAAAGAAGTTGTAGTCCAGAAACTGAGCCATGCTGGTATTGGAAAAAAGAGGGGGCACTTCTGGATCTAAAATTTGGAAGTAGAAGCAGAAGTAGTAGGGAAGACATTTTTGATGGGCAGAACACATGCAAAGAATGAGGACATTAAAGATCAGGGTATGTCATTAAAAGGAATATTCGGTATGAGGATAGCCCATATAACAAAAAGGGCATTTTCAAGGACTAATCTTGAAAAAAGGAAAGAAATTTGCACTCAGAATTCCAAATCAGTTCTGACGTTTCTTATCACCAAAGTCAAGGTGTACATAAAGTGAAGGAAAACAAAGTACACTTGAATATCTACATGTCCTTTCAAGTTCTATATTCTGTGGCTCTTTCAAAGGTCTAGTTCATTCAACTCACAAGCCTCGTGCAGTTGTTTGAACTCAGCAGATACTCAATAGATTTGTATTTTGTTTTTTATGCCATCATCAATTACGAGGAAAGAATTCAAGAGCATAAAGTATAACAGCGTTTTTAACACATGTTCGATAATCTTTTATAAAACACTCCTGGTCTATTGCTTCTGGGTGTAGGAAGTAACTTTTAAATCTGTTAGAATTTAGAAGCATTGAGGGCCACTTAGCTTGTCTCTTAGTGCAGAGGTGCCTTAGTGGATTAAAATAAAAGGCCCTTGGGGACAAGACCTATAAAGCTGCTCCTCACAATGCAAGAAGCAGAGGCAATGCATTAAAGATGAATAAGTGAAACATACACTGAACATAAAATACAACTAAATGAGGAAAAACAGAGAAAGAAGAGGGAAGAGGAGAATCAGGCAGAAGAAAGGTGAGGGAACTGGAAAGAAGAGAAAAGAACAGACCCAACTAATGTGTACCTAATTCACCTCCCACCCCTTTAAAACTGGTCCTGCAGCCTCAGCGCTCAATCACAAAAACTTCAAGCTGAAGAATGGATGAGGAAGGGGAGAGAGATAAAAGTATTACAAGTACAGATCTGGGCATGCCCCAGGGGCCAATTATTTCCATTTGCTTTAGCCTCTCACAAAATTGGACTGAAAATGAACCACAAAGAGCATTTTTTTTTAAAATTTTGGTTTTGTTTTTATGGTTTGTTTTTTAATGTTGATTTGTATGGTAGGTTCATGGAAAATAAATTGAAACTATAGTGGAATTAAAAATCAATCTGTTTCAAACAACCTAGTCTGGTTTATAGTTGTCATCATCTGTGTGGGACAGAAATCACCTTCAGAGGATAAAGCAGTGAAATCCACTCAGGAAGGAATTCTGGAAGCTATGAGATGCTTCTCATCTTTTCCCCCAGTTTTGTTGTTGCAGACTCCTGAGTCCACTAACGTTTCTCTACAAACATCTTTTTACTGATCTTTTATTTTGCTTTGTATCTATTTTTATGGAGCATGTATTTCTACTGTGGTATTTGCCAACCCGGTTCAGGGAAGCCATTAAGTTATGTAACTGAGACCTAAATATATACCAGGTTATGTTTAATGAAAAATGTCATCTAATACTCACAATCTTATTTTTCTCTTTTATTCATTTACCCTTTCAACAAATATATGCTTAGCGCTGCCAAGTGGCATGGAAGAAATTGTCTGCTCTGGAATATAAAATGAGAAGGCACTGGTATTGATGGCAGTGGTGGGAAGAATTAAGATAGAGGGATGGAGAAGTTCTTCCTAACAGATGGCATTTAACCTAAGAACTGATGGTCTCTGTTTTATT